CGTTTTTCTAAATTTCTTTTTAAGTTTAAGGCAACATACAACAGAGCCAAAGCCCGACAGCTAAGAAAAAAGCTTTCTCAGGAGAGTATACATGAATTCAAACAAGTTATAGTTTTTGGAAATCTACTCTTTAAAGATGCCTAAGATGCAGGAAAATCATGCAATATGTGAAAATACAATTTGCTGCTTTTACAAATAAGCAGGAAAAATACCAAAATATAAATCAAATAATATAAAATTATTTATTACCTTAATGACACCTATCAAGGAGAGAAGACTAGTAAAAAGGTGCAATGTTAACATGTAAACTTTATAGCGAGATTCAAGGTGGCATAGCTAGAAAACAGAAGTTTCAAGGAAACAGAGAAATCTGTTACTTTAAAAGAATGCAAAATGCAGTAATAGACATTCTCCCTAAAATGTGAATGACTTGATAATAAAATGGATGAGTTGAAAAACTGGTTAATGTCAATATAAAAAAAGAAATCATTAGGGCAGCCAAAATAAACTGAATACAATAGCAAGTCTTTGACATATTACAACTGAGTTTGTCTAAACAGCAACACAAAAATTGTCCTCCTTTTTTCAAATATCCTTTTATTAGACCAAAAAATGCATTTCCTCTCCTTACCAGGAAAGCTTAAAGCAATCATTTCGGCCAAATAGCAAGTAGCATCTTCACACAATACACATCTTCTAATTTGATGATACTCAAGGAAAAGGTATTGATAAGGCTGCAAATGCTACGGCCCAGTGCACCAGCCTGACACTTTCTAATCATAGCATGCTTGCGCTGAGCACAAACTCTAGCTGCAGCCGTGCTGGTGATACATATTGAGCTCGCACAAGATGCGTCTACATATAATCTTAAGCTGCACTTGACCTTATGGCAGAGCAACAGCCAATATACAGTTGAGAGCACTTAAGCCCTTTTAGACTTTCACCCTTAGAGAGCCCTGAGGGATTTGTAAAATTAACACCGCGTTCAGCAAACGCTGGTGAATGGCCAGGGACAAGAATGTTATTCAGAAAACAGTTTTAACAGTCAACTTGAAAAAAAGAATATGAACACTTGGAACAACTTTTAATTGTGATGCCAGTCTTCCATCCTCCTGCTATTTTTAATGACGTGTAGGTGGATTTATGTAGGATAAAAGAGTAGACGGAGTCCTGACTTGCTCTCCCTGAAGTATAACCTAAGTCAGAGCAGCACTGGGTCGGACAGAAATTGGGCCAGAGTGCATCTAAGAACTGAACTTAATTTGTATAAACAAACAAGCTTTATTTACAGTATTCCTTCTTAAAATCCCAGGCTTAGAGTCTGCATGTTCTTTAAAGACTCCATTTATGTACACTTGAATGCCTATTTAAGCAAAAAACAAGAGAGCTTTCCCATGGAAACCGCACAGAGATGTTTTACTTCACACGTACACCACAAACAAGGCTGCTAACTTTCCATAATTTACTGTATTTTCTTAGGCTTGCTATTGTATTTTAGGACCAAATCTTTTAGAGAAGGTGCTTACGCAGGAGGCCACAGACATATAAATAAATGACCTAAGAAAGGCAAAGCCTGAGACGTGAACTGACAGGAAATGGCATCTCGGCAGCTTGTAAGAAAATTTTAATATTTTTGGTTTCCCTGTTTCTAGCTGGAGGAACGGGTTTAAATTTTGTGTTTAGTTAAGAAACAAGCAATCTGAAGGCATATGGAATGTATTCTTTAATCAGGACCTGAATTGTCCCTTAGAATTAAATCAGGCCAGGGAGCAATCCCTGAGCTAAAACAATAGCAAGCTTCAGTTAGTAGATGCTATCTCTCAGCGAGGAATCTAAGTCAGCAAGCCTCAAAGGAGCCAGGTGATTTTAAAAACTGCTTAAGAGGACACAGAGAAAAAGTAACACGATTTTGTGGACTTTATCAGACAGGCATAAATTTGTCCAATTACTTCAGCAAGAACATGAGCAGTTTTACTCTGTCAATGAAAAAGGTCCTGCTAAACTGATACTCTGATTTGAGAATTTGCCTTTTCGATTTAGGTGATAAGTGTTTAAGTGTGAATGCATACAATCTTCTATATGTATGTATTTTAGGGGAGTAATTTTGCTCCTACTTATGATTACTACTGATTGTCTCAAGGCTACGGCAAAGGGTTAAGTCCTAACTTCAAAAGAGATTCCTACTTCTCCTGGGGGCCACAAAGATAAGCAAGGATATCAAGGCTTTCAAGTTTAGCCCCTGAGTTGAAGGAATTGGATGGGCCCACCTGTTTGGAAAAAAAAAAAACCAAAACACAACATAACAACAAAAAAACAACCCTGGGAGAAGGCTGGGCACAGAATCAAAGTCCCTTTGGCATGAACTTATGACAGCTCTGCCCATGAATAAGCAGGCTGTGTTCAGTTGCTGGAAACAGAGGCAGGGCTTGCTAAAACTGAGGATGAGGAAATCTTTTAATGATCGTATTTCAAACTTGGTGCCGCTTCTACATCCTATAAAGCAATGTGGCATACGTGCTTTATTCAATACATAACTGGACAGCTAATGAACCCAGCTGGTGCAAGAGCAAGCAAAAGCTGTCCTTGATGGTGTCTTAAGCTACAGTGAGGAAGATGGTGTAAATGGATCCCTGAAGTGTCTTAGAATAAGGGCAGAGAATTTGGTCAGATAACAGAACGTCAAGTGGGAGAGCCTGTGGCCCCAGAACAGTAGGACCACAAACATAAACAGAGCTGTTTTGTCTCAAAGGATGCCAAGCACTTGGGAGACCATTTGGTTAAGAGGGAAAAAGACGACATATAAGCAAAACCTAACAGACAGTATTTAGAAACACAAACAAGTTGTTTCTGATTTATCCATGGCTAAATTTACTTCAGCTGAGCAGAATTACATTGCTTCTAGAGGCTAAATCATGTATCCTTCTTTTCTGTTTCTACTCGGGATGTTTTGATGTGGTGCTTGAACTAATATATTTAATTAGAACACTTCCCTATGTATCTACATATATTCCCATATACTTGGACCATAACGTGGCTATGATAAAAATAAAGTAGAATGAAAAATTATTTGGGTGTGTTGAAACGCACTAACCTATTCTAAGAAGCCCTCGCAAATATTTTAAATAGTGTTTACATAAGGTGCTCAGTTGTGTTAAAAATCTTTCTTAAAATACGCTAACATGTATCATAACATCATACTTTTCTTGATACAGATTTATTTATGGTACCTACTCAGGAATCACTAGCTGTTCCTGCAAGCAAAGCGCTTTTAACTAGAGCAGCTTTTTTGTCTCTTTACAGCTCAGTGATAGTTATTTCAGACATTGCAGCATACTTTCTTCCCCCGCTTCTCATCATCTTTCTCATATTACGTATCCAGTGTAAAACTTAAATGCAAAGCTTCAAACATAAGAGTGAATAACCTCACAAAACGTACATGTGATAGTAAGCGTACACATTTAGTGCTTTTTAAAAGAACCGTTATCATACTTCTAAATTTCAAGAGCAGGGCAGAGAAGTCCATTTGTATACACTCACTCATAAATGAATGCACTTAGCAGACAGCATATAGGTACTTGTAAGCTTCCAGCTGCAAAAGAAATGCATTTTGTAGTACAGTCATTAAAAAAGCCAGAGTAGTGCTTCCAGTTATTGTTGTTGGTGGGTTTTGGTTGGTGATTTTTTTTTAAATAAAATACTTATAATCTGCTAGAGAAAAAAACCCAACAAGTCCACAAAAAGAAAATCATATTTGATCAAGAAATGGTTCTCCTAGACAGTCCAGTAGTAAAACAAAATACTAGTAAAACAATTTCTATTGTAATGCATCAGAATCCAAAATCAAATGTTACTTGATGCTGTCCATAAAATTTAAATTAGTGTAAAATCTGCAAAAGCTTGTCAATTGTTGTTTGCTTCCATCATTTCCAAATTACAATCAGTCTCTGACCATGCCATTCATTTGATTTACTCAGCTTGAACTACTTTCATTCAACTTGTATTTACGCATCTTTGCTAATTTAATTTAATCTTCTGATTGCCATTCAAAACGTTCACCCCAATACTTATTATTTATGCAGTTTGATGCCTTTATTTACAGAACAACTGATAACCAGACTGCTTAAATCTCGTGCTGTTCTAATATTTTTACACTCTGCAAAACTGAAATACTGCAGCAAGGCCATCACCCATTTTGCTCCAGTCAGGTAAAAATCTTTTTAGCTTCATTAGAAGAGAAGAATAGTATCTAGTATACAAAAGGGGCACCACTGCCCATGGCAGATTGTCCTTGCAACAAAACCACTCTGGGGAGGCTGTCCTGTCACCTTTAACCAAAGGGGATACTCAGACTTAAGTGGTGTTTCCCAGCCTGAAACAAGGGCTTGCAGAGAAACTGCAAATCAAAGAGTCAGAGGTTTTTTTCTAGCCAAAGAAAAAGCAGTAAAGAAAGAGATATTGAGACTTTCAGGTAACTTTCTCAAGTTCTGATAGGGCTGCCTCCTATGCCGGATTGGTGTTTTTCTCTACCTCCTTCTGTTCTCCCGTGTCTTTTTACTACAGCCTAATTCCCTATCTTTCAGGTTTTTCTTCCTTGCTCTCTCCATCTCACATGCTTCCCTTCGGGGTCCCCTCAACACCCACATAAAACCATGGAGTTAGCTTGACTGACTGCTACCATGCAGATTTACTCCTGCTGGGGGCTATCTTGACTACTGAGATTGGAAGCTCTTTGGAACAGAGATTGTCACCACTCTGTGCCCGTATAATGCCCAGCAGAAAGAGTCTTATTTTAATCAGTCCTCTGGCACTAACGTAATAAGCATGACTAATGAAGCATCTGTCTATACTCATATACGGGAACGCTAGGGCTGTATGAAAACAAAACCAGGTTCAGCTTTTGTAATGCTGGAAATGTACAATTAAATCCAAATGAAATTTCTACTGACAGATGATGGTGTAACAGATGGAATATTTAGCAGGAAACAAGTAATCTGACTTACTTTGCTCTCTTGGCCATTTCATTGCCATCCCAGCGGGGGCTGTAAGGGTAATTCTTCTGGGCCTGGGAGTACAGCTGGCCACTGTTAGTGAAGTGGTAGACGGACTGAAATGTTAAAGTTGGTTGGTCTCGAGGAAAGTACAGGGGTAGGTCAACTGAAATTTAAAAAAAAAAAAGAAGACACAAAATATGCTATTGCATTTTTTCCTTCTTTTAAACTGGGAATATATTATTCCTTTCTAATGATTTAAAGGTGACAGAAAAGGAGAAATTGATGATTACGCCTAAAATGTACCGCGGTATTTCTTGTAAGTAATGATTCCAACATATTGCTGTATGGGAAGCTTTGTTTTATCAAAATATTTTTGTAAAGTACATAATTAAAAAACCTGTTTAGCTCATGTATTTCTATGCTAATCATAATGTTTACACCATGATTATTTTGTTATAGAAAAAACAACAGAATTATTTTCCTTTATAGTTAAATTCTCTCTTTCAAAAATTCACAAAATACTTTTGTTTATGCTTTCCATTCAAGAAACAATCTTCTCTTTAACTGCTTTAGCCAATTCATTTTAGTGTCCCTATGGACATCAAAAGCATTATCGTTCTCATTTTACAGTTGTCTGAGACCTATAGTGGTTAAATGATTTGATAAAGGATGTCACATAAAGGACTCAGTCACATGACTTGGGAAAGATCTCAACTTGCTGTCATCTGCCAGACAAAAAAAACACCGCAAAACCAAAAACACCCTGCGAAGTCATTAATACCCAAAATATCTCACTAAAAATAAAAATCAGAACCTCTTAGTTCCCTTTGCTTATCACTGTCTCATGATCAGCTAGGTCTGGCAGAAAAATAAAATAGTCTACAACAGTTAATAATATGGTCAAAAAATGGTTTGTAACTTAACTTTTTCACTACTAGAGTTATAGTTTAGATCTACTTTTAATTTCAGGAGGCTTCAGAAATCTGTAAATTGAGTTATGACAACAGACATGGATTATTTACATTAAATGTCTAATACCAAAATTAACAAAAGAATGTGCATTTCTTCAGGTGTAGACTTCATTTACAAAGAACCTATGATTGTACTTTTGTTTTCCTCTAAATCACAACTCTTTAATTCTGCACAATGAAAGAACAGTGCAATGGAACAGTAACTCTCTGTAAATCTTAAATAGCAATGAGTGAAATAAATTAATGAGATTATAATTCATTTTTACAAGACTGTGTTCTCAGTATTCTCTCTTTGTCACTCCACAGTCCTTCTTCAAGAGAAGGAAAGACTCCGCAATCAATAAATAGGCTGTAGTAGCTGAAGTAATAATCAAAGCAGGGGGCAAAATCAGTACAAACAGAATTTGAAGAAAGCAAAAGGAACATTACAGGACTAAACCCATCCTTACGCGGAACAGGATCTCCCCTCTAGTATGCTTGATAATGCACTGTATTTTCTACTTTTAAATACTCATGGAGCAGAGATTCCAGAACTTCCTTTGAAATCTCCGCTCACAGACTGAGATATCAGTAGTAAGACAGGTTTTATTCTTCCAAATCACTTCATGTTTCAGTGTTTCTCATCATGTCTGAATACCTGGATGTGCATTAGCCAAACCATAGCTCCCTTTTCCCTAAATTACCCTCAAAACTCATTGAGTAAAACCATTTGTAGCTGTGAAGTACACAAAACCAAATGTGATATTCTAGACATACTCTCAAAATACAACAAATCACTGTGCACGACAGCATTTGCTCAGTTCATGACCCAGTGTCTGAGCTACACGTGATAACTCCCAGAGTCCTGGTGACTCAGCTCACACAGCAGCTTTCAGCAGATATTTAAGCAGTAATGACATGGGCAGAGTTCTCTTAATTTGAGGGCAGATCACTGCTGTAACAAAGGTTAGATTTGAAGATTGCTCTTTCAAATTCCTCTTTACAACATGATTATTAAATAGCAACTCTGAAAAATATTGGTGCATTGAGGCCATTTATCAACAAGCAAGCTGTCTCCTCACCTTGCTGATTGTACATGTGTGCTGAAGTCCTCTGAAGGACTTCACTGTGGAAAAGAACATGAAGCAAGGAGACAGGCTCTCCATTTTAACATTATAAATATACTTCTTCAGCTCTGAGTGCTTAAACTCTGTTCCTCTAGTGCATCTTTTTCCTTCTTAAGTACCATCTCCTTAAAGGAAAAATACTCTGCATGCTTGCGGATTTCATCACCGTGTGAAAGGAGTAATAAACTTTGGCAAAACACTCGAGTAATAGTTAGGTCCTTAGCTTTTTACTTGAGAATTTCTAACTTTCATTAACTTTCCTTTGAAAACCTCCATCTGCATAATGGGGGCAAGTAGCAGTTTTCTTCCTGTTACTTAAAACTAAAGGCTTGCACTTTAAAGTATCTAGCACCAGAAATGCTGTTTAAATAGATAATCAAGACATCACTTTCACTACAGAGATGCTTCCACTTATTACGAGAAGCCTTTTTTTTTACAAAAATATTCTTCTAGCAAAGGTACCCCACCAACATGTAACAGAAAACTTTTCTTTTGTTCTATTAACCAAAACCTATATAGGAATTTTCAGGAATTACTTACATTATAAACTGTTGAATCAGATAAGCAAATTAGATTTAAAATTGTGCATCCCACATTTGGCCAAGAGCAGTATTATCCTGAACTGCAAGTAGAGTTTTGAAAAATTTGATCTGCCTCTGTTTTCTAACACTACCCTCCACCTAAAATCGCCAAACTCCCATTTTCCTAAGTGAAGTATTTCCTTAATACAAGGTATGAGATGAATCCAGACCAATTAAAAAAAATCCTGTCCCTAACTGTGGAATACAACCACACCTAAAAGACCAGTAAACAGGAAATAGCCTTGAGTTGTAAACTGTTATACATATCTCAAGGTAGCCAGCTATTATTTCAGCAGTAGGAATGGAAGGCAAGAACTCACTTCCGTCACAGTGGATCCCTGTCCATTGACACTGTGAGTGCACAGAATACTTGAATTTGGGGTGAAGTGTTTTATTATACAGGAAAAATAAGTAAATATCACTGGTAACCAACACTAGCAAGGTGCTTTGAAGATAAAAGGTCAAATTCTGCTCATAGTCACATAGGTTGATGAAGAAATTTTTTTTTTTTTTTTTTTACCTGGTCATATAGGCAATCTGACTCAATCTGTGCATTAATACAAAATCAGATCTGTCTTCATGCGATATGTAAGGTGGCAAAGGTAAGTATTTGCATAATTACATCCCAGACAACATTTACACTTTGTCATGAAAAATGCATCATAGTTAAAAACAACACACTGCTTTTGTAAAACAACATCTGAACCAGGCAAACTATAAAAGCCTGCTTTGGTTTGGCATGCTAGTTACCTAAGAACTACAAAAATGTATTCATGTTGAATACAAGTACTATTTCCAAATAACAGCTGACTCACAGAGTACCCTGGTGATATGTCTGCAGAAAATAAGCAGATGAGTCATGTCTGTAAATTCCTGAAAGTACCAATAGACCCCTTGCTTAGTCATCTTTTGCTTGGATGCTGGGTTCACAAGCTCTGTAAACTATAATGAGGGATCTAGCTCTTAGTAGGACTCTCTCTCCCTTTTTTTCGTCTTCTAAACAGTGCAAATTATCTCCCTAAAAATAACTTCATCTACGTAAGTGAGTCACTTCAACTAGCAAGCTTACACAAGTCATGCAGTTAAGCAGTAATATTTGGTTATGAAGGTAAAAATCTTGCTGTCAAACTCAGATTTAAAACGAAAATTATGTCAGAGGAAGTCCTATTTGCTCCTTCTCTCACAGAAATAGAAACATTTCCTTTGGAAAATTTAAACAATTAGTTCATTCAGGAAAGTAAAGCTTTCTAATTCAGTTCCATGCTGAAAGTAATTTAATCCTGATGATTTCTTACTTTGGCTTTCCTAAGCATCACACTGTTAATATAAGTGGACCTCAAAGAATCAGACTGGAGAAAGAGGCCAATACCACAGTAAAACACTGCTTTCTCCTATGTTACAATTTACAGATCATTTTTTTAAAGTCAAGTTTTAGAAAGCCATAGTGTGGGGAAAATCACGTCTTTGTGAAAGCTCTACATGAGCAGAACATGGAGGGCTGTTTTGGGTAATTAAACATTGAGTAAATTCCTCAGTGATTGAACCCTAATTTTCCCACACAGTTCATAGGAAAGTAAAAGAAAAAGCACTTGCTTGTTGAGAATGAGTCATGTTGTAAAGAAACTTAATTACAGTTTATAAATAGTTGAAGTTGCTCTCTTTTTGAAACATAAGAAACTATCGAGAACTAACACACAGATTTGCTTTTCTTGACTTAGCATTTAATGCATACATATATTCAAAACATAGTTATCTTAAAGCCAAAATCCCAATTCATTAATAACTAAAAAGCTGTCCAATGAATCAGTAAGGTTTAATTGTTAATTTTCTTAAAGAACAACCATCTGAGACTGGGAACAAGTTACCTAGTTTGTTAAGCTTATGTCAACAACTAGAGTTGGTTTTGACACTCTTACTAACTCTAAAATAATATCATTAGCATCTGATTTTATAGGTTTTCAAACAGGATATGAAATGTGGAAGGCCTGTCTCGGCAAAAGCATATACTGGTGCTGTTACAGGGTTTCTGAAAGAAAAATGCTCAGAAGAAAAAGGCAGGTTTATCACAGTGCTCCCCTCTTCACTTTTAAGTACTGGAGAGAAGGGAAAACAAAACCACGCTTGAAATGCATGCTGACCATACAAATATTTCAGAGTACTTAGATGGCAATATTTAGAAAATTTTCCATATGCTGTTCCCCTGTTCTGGAGAAAAGGTTTATTCATCCTTTGTATGGCACTGGATAAATCTAGGTATTTATTTTCACAGAAGTCAACATTTACTCACTGAATGGTACGCATGATCTGAATGCTTGGATGATACTATGCTGGGTTTGAATCTGCTGCAGTTTACTGCACCTATAATCTTGTTTTGCACTCAGAAACACTGGCTGATCTCGATATTTTACTGCTGAGATTTCCACTTCTACAAGGTTTCACTGCCTGCCCAACCTTAATTCACGAGTTTAGAGGCTATTTAGGGATTCCAGACTGGGAATAAAGGAA